CCATTTTAATGGCACACATCTCAGCTCTTCCTCTCCAGAAGCCACCATAACAGCCAGGGGTAAGCTGGAAGACAGCATTCTTTGAGCACCCCTTTCTCCACAAACTCTTGAAGATGGAAATTGCAAAGGTATTTTAGAGGGTTGCTCTGCCAGTTCCACTCTACCTATAGAGCCAATTCAAACAACAATCGTTCCCCAAGGCTGGAGCTGCATTTTCTCAGCACTAAGCGGCTGGAGTGGAACAAACAGAATGGGGACTTCAGCACATAGTGCTAAGACAGACCTGTAAAAATATAAAGAGGTCCTTTTCTTACAATAATTCTTACAGCAATGAAATTTGCAAAATCCAGTCTCCAACGAACTGCTTTTTTTAAAAAAATGGTTAAAAAAGGTAACAGTAATTTAGAAATTCTGTTTGAATGGGAGAACCTCAAGCACTCTATCAATATTCCCAAGAGTAGGTAATCACAAACTTGAGCAGACTTCCCATCTTGAGAGAGCAAATCTTTTCCTTAGATATTCAGGAAAGGAAATAAATTCTACACATGAGCGGAGGAGAAAGTTTTTCCTTTCTCCCTACTGCAAACTTTGTGAGAGGTACAAAAGAGTTAATAATCAGACTCATGGTGGTATCAGCACATCAGAAAAGTTATGCATGCACACCATTGTTTACATAGGCCCATCTTATGGTAAGAAAAATTAAATAACATACAGCTCTTGAAACTCTCATACCCTTTGAGAGTTGGACTAGATAATCTTGATAGGTTTTTTCTAACCTAAACACTTCTGTGCGTCTCTTTAAAATCATGTGTGGCAATGGTTTTGCTGTAGCTGTGCAAGACAGTCTAGGAAAAACAAATATGCAAATAGGAAAAAGACCAAGATGCGAAATATAAACATAATAAATTAGGGTAATTGACAACTTGCTGTCATAGGCTCCTTACTCTCTCACATCTATTGACGGGGAATCCATCTTTGAAGCAGCCCTGAAGTACATAAAGAATATTAAAATCGTTCCAAACCTAAGAAAAATAGAACATGACCAGAAAAGATCATGACCAGAACCATCCACATCTTAAGTCAGGTGGCAGAACCAACACAGCTCAAACCACATCATCTCACTTATATTCTAGCCAGTCAACACCCTGAATTTAAAAGATCAAAATTAGCCACAGTGTTTAAGACATGCTACATCTAACCACACCTGATTTTAATCCAATTTTATAGAATAAAATTATAGACTCACAGAACAGTTTGGGTTTGAGGAGACCTTAATCATCCAATTCCAGCCCCCTGCCATGGGCAGGGACACCTTCCACTAGAGTAGGTTGTTCCAAGCTCTGTTCAACCTGAACGAGCTGTTAGGAAGTTGTTCCCTGTGAGGGTGGTGAGGCCCTGGCACAGGCTGCCCAGAGAAGCTGTGGCTGCCCCATCCCTGGCAGTGTTCCAAGCTCTGTTCAACCTGGCCTTGAACACTGCCAGGGATGGGGCAGCCACAGCTTCTCTGGGCAACCTGTGCCAGGGCCTCATCACCCTCACAGGGAACAACTTCCTAACAGCTCATCTAAATCTCTCCCATGTGAGTTTGAAGCCATTCCCCCTCGTCCTGTCACTACAGGACCTTGTCAGAAGTCCCTCTCTCCTGCTTTCCTTTCAGCCCCTTTAAATACTAGGGGGCTGCTTTGAGGCCTCCTGGGAGCCTTCTCTTCTCCAGGCTGAACAAGCCTTGAAAAGCTATGTCCTTCTGATCCCAGGACTTACTTTAAGAATTTCTTGTCTCTCTCAAAAAAAAAAAACCAAACCAACCCTCAAGCCCACAAAACAAAGCTCTGAACTATGCCATTTGCCAGGCATCATTACTTAAACCTGAAGACTTCTGCATATTCTCCTATCCTGACCAGAGATTACAAGTTCCAGACAAACAAAACTGATTTCTACTTAGTTTTGTACAAGCTGTTCAATCGCCTTCGAATCTAGCTTTTTGATTTCAACATTTTAATAATAGTTCCCCAAACTCAGGAAAAGAAGCCTTTTCAGTTTGTTGTCATCTTCAGAACACTGGTTTCAAGTTTGTTTTTTTTTTCTTTTTGCCCAAAACTTTGGCTGCCAGCTCCAAAAGACTTCATTCAACAACTTCAGTGAAATCAACTTGCAGTGCAGATTAGCCATCGATTTCCTCACATGCTCCCTGTAGTTCTACTGACCACTGCAGGAATGGCACCCAAGAAGTTCAGAAGCAGTGGCAGATGAACTGCACTCACACCAATTACTATGTTAAATTCTGAAGCCCAAACATTGGGCAAATCCAGGTTAGGATCTAGAGTCTTGGGAAAAACTCCAAGAACACTTCACACAAATCATCACATTCATGACATGCAAAGCAGAGATTCCAAACAAATCACCCATCCTCTGACTTCCCACAACCTCAAACTGAGAAAAAACATGCAAAAACCCAGAGTCAGTAAGCCACAAAAAGTTTTAACTATGCAAAAAGCAGAAAATAAAAAGTCATGTCTTTTCAAGTCTTTTCATTTTATGCTCAAGATCTCACTACAACATAGTATCAGAAAGTAAATGAAGAATATATTTACTAGAGACAGAAAAGAACATCAAATTGTATAGCCTAGTCATCTAGTGCCCTTTCATAGAAGAAAAAAAACCCACATAAATTCTAGGTAAAATTAAGTGAAAAGACAACTGTATCATTGCGAAAGAAGACAAAGGTTTTGCAAATGATAACCTATTAATTTGTGTAGACAGATGAATGGTGTAATAAGCAATCTTTAGTGTCAAGATAGTTTCTTACCACAGATCTAGTTCTGTATACTCTTTGTTAAGTCTCTACATATGAAATTTTGTGGTTATTTTTATATGTACATAGAAACAAAACACAACACCTTCAATGACACTGGGGATAAAAGAGGAGGAGTGGATTCCCACTGATCTACCCCAAGGCACTGCAAAAATACTGCAGGCAAAAGGGGTAGGAAACAACTAGTTTGTTAGTGTTGTTATGAATTTATACATTAGTTATAATCATAGGAAGCCTATACAATTCCTGATGTAAAGGATAAATTAAGACATGCATAAACAACTATTATCAAGAGTGAAAATCATGAAATGAAAGGGTTGACTCCCACAAGTGATTTTTTTTTTCCAAATAAATTTCAAATTACTAAGGGAGAATGAGAAAAAAGTCATCATTCAGAAATAAAGTATGTAGGTGGATTAATTCACAGTTATCTGTCCCAGAGAAACGGGGTGATAAAACAACGAACCAGACTCCTCCAGTACAAGTGAGGAGACAAGAGGAGAATGCCACCTTAGTCATTCCCCACCCAGTTCTGGTCATGGAGAAAAGAAAGGAGCTAATTCATTGCATCCAAGCACCATCAGTGCTTCCCCAGCCCATTCTCACCCACATGAAGGCACAAAAGGAGAACACATTATTATCCCAACTCCATTTTAATCAGTCAGTGGGAAAGAAACTCCAATGCTGAACTCCCCTGTTGCACTTGTTATGTATTAAAGGAGAACCACATGATAATCCCTCCCATCTTCAATTTCAGTTAAGAGACAGTGAGGAAACAGGACACATGCTTCACTCTCCCACTCCTCACCGTACTGATAGGGCAGAATGATGAGGCACACAACATCTCCTCTTCCCCTCTCCCTCCTCACAGTGACACCATGAGTGTCCCAGGTCTACTGCAAGGAGGACAGAAAGGCAGCCCTTTCATGATCAGATTCTTCATGTACATGGAGGTACAGGTCTAGCATCTCTCTCCACTTGAGTTCCTATTGCATGGCAAGCTAAAGGAACTGGAGAGGAGATAGCTTAGTTCGGGAGAGGAGGTAGGGTACAGACTCAACTAGCATCCCCTTCCCCCTTGAATCATCACTATTTTAGAGGCAAAAGGAACAAGGGCACAGATGGGACTATCATCGTTTTGGATTCCTGCCACACTGCAAAGGAAAAGGAAGGGTATATATGTACATAAGGCTACATAAGCACCCCTTTCTTGGGTCCCCCCTTGCATTGCAAAAGGAAGAGAGCGTGTGGATAGAGACAGCATCCCCCCGGACTCTCCCTACACTGCAAAGCGGAAAGGACGAGGGAGGTATGCATAGGACTAGCATCCCTTTCCTGCGGCTACCGCACTGCAACATGAAAGGAGGGCAGCGTGGATCTAGCAACCCCTTGGGTCCTCACCGCTCCGCAGAAGAGGTGCGGGAGCGAGGAGGGGGAACAGCACCTCTGCTCCTCGGGGCCCCGGTGCACTGCGGGGGGAAGGAAGATCCGCACCCCCTCCCCTTGAGTCCCTAAGGAAAAGGGAAGGAAAATGCACGGGACGAGCATCCCCTTCTGCTGGCTCTCAGCGGCTGGTAGGGACAGGGGAGCGGGAATGCCCCGGACGAGCATCTGCCGAGGGAGAGGGAATGGATCCAGCATCTCCATGTCGCGCGGCGGAGCACAGGAAGACCACCTTTCGACTCGGCCCGCCGCAGCCGAGTGGGGGGGACTTAACCCTCCACTCCGCTCGCTCCCCTGCCCTGAGGGCGCTTCATGGCCGCCCCCCCACAGCGCCGTCTCCGGGAACGGGTGTCTCTGCCTGTGGCGAGCGAGGCGGCCGCTGCAGGGGTGAAAGAACGACACCCCCGACGGAAACCCCCTGCCCAACCTCACATCACACCCCGCTCCGCGCCGCCAGGGGCCCAGATCCCCGCCGTTACCTCAGCGCAAGGTCCCGCCGCTCCAGCTCCTCTCCTCCGCCTCAGGTGGCGGCGGCAGCGACCGCGCCTCCCCGCGCCCGACCCCGCCGCAGCGTCCGCCACGCCCCTCGCCTCCGCCACGCCCCCCCGCGCCGCCACGCCACGCCCCTCTCCCTGTCCGCACAAACGAGCCAATCCGAACGGCCAGAGCTGGTTGCTAGGTAGAACAGAACCTCAGCTTCGACTGCTCCGCCGCTAGTGGGATCTGATTGGCTAGCGCGCTCCCGGGGTGTGTGGGGGAGCGGTTTCTATAGCGACGGGAAGCGGCCTGGCGGGACGAGTAGGCCGCACCGTCCGTGGGCGGGAGGACGCAGGTGAGGGGGGGTCCGGCCCGGCCGCGATGGGGACCAGGGGCTGAGGGGACACCGTGGTGGAAGGATCCCCTGGGAGACAGTGGAGCACACGGGGTGTGTGGGGAGGGGCTGTGACTGAAGTGGGGCCCAAGGGGACAGGTGCTGAATGACATTAGGAGGGACAAACGCTGAGTGGCATGGGGAGCCCACAAATACAGAGAGATACAGAGGAACAGAGACAGGACAAACTCCATAGGGTATGTGGAGGGGATATCAGATTCCATAGGATGCAGGGAGGGAGTCTGATGGGATGACTAAGAGACTGGATTGAGAGCAGTCCTGAGGAGAAGGACCTGGGAGTGTTGGTTAATGAGAAACTGAACATGACAGTCCCTCATACTTCTACAGCAATATAAGGTACATGAAGTTCAACCAGACCCAAGTGCAAGGTCTTGCACCTGTGCTCGGGGCAAGCACAAATACGGGCTGGGGGAGACTGGATTGAGAGCAGACCTGAGGAGAAGGACTTGGGGCTGTTGGCTGCTAAGAAGCTCCCCATGACCCAGCAGTGTGCGCTTGAGCCCAGAAACCAACCGTGTCCTGGGCTGCATCACCAGCAGTGTGACCAGCAGGTCGAGGGAGGGGATGCTCCCTCTCTGGCGAGACCCCCCTGCAACCTGGTGTCCAGCTCTGGGGCCCCCAGCATACAAAGGATGTGGAGCTGTTGGAAGGAGTCCAGAGGAGGCCATGAAGATGCTCCAAGGGCTGGAGCACCCCTGCTATGGAGACAGGCTGAGAGAGCTGGGCTTGTTCAGCCTGGAGAAGAGAAGGCTCCAGGAGACCTTAGAGCAGCTTCCAGTGGCTAAAGGGGCTGGCAAGAAATCTGGAGAGGGGCTTTTGACAAGGGCCCGTAGGGACAGGACAAGGGGGAATGGCTTTAACCTGACAGAAGGGAGATTTAGATGAGATCTCAGGCAGAAGTTGCTCCCTGTGAGGGTGATGAGGCCCTGGCACAGGTTGCCCAGAGAAGCTGTGGCTGCCCCATCCCTGGCAGTGTTCAAGGCCAGGCTGGATGGGGCTTGGGGCAACCTGGTCTAGCGGAAGGTGTCCCTGCCTGTGGCAGGGGGTTGGAACTGGATGATTGTCTTAAATTGTCTTTGGGTCAACTCAAACCGTCCTGTAATTCTGTGATTCTATGAAGATGGAAATCCCCAGCATGCACCAAGCATGGCTCATGTTGTGAGGAAGGAGGGCTCTGATGCACTCACTGAAGAAGGTATAAACACTGCAGTGTGCGACACTGAGATCCTCCAAGCCAGCTGGACAAACATCTGTGTCAAGGTCACAGAGCCTTTCATGGGACTGGGGACAACCATGAGAAGATTGATGGGGTAGTGTGGAATACTGACAATGTCATGCAGCCAGAGAGGACATGTTAATGGAGGACAGGGTGTTACTATGCAGTGACAAATGTGGAAGGCTGGGTGATACTAGTGCTTTGCAGCTTGTCACTTACGGGCTAGGTAGAGGGAAATGAGAAGTACAGTATTGGCCTCTTTGTTGTAAATCACTGCAAATATGCACTTTCCCTCATGCCCTTCTCCCAGTACCATTTTCACAGATGTCCCTCTACAGATGAGGATCTCTTTCACATTATCTTTTCCACACTTTTTTTCCATTTTGAATGCCCTATAGTTTGGCCTCCACTTCAGTTTGCTTTTCTGTTACTGCTGTTTAAAGCATTTCTTCCATATCATCAATCATCACACTATTTATTGCTGATATAATAATTTACAACGAAAACTACGTTCCTGTCTGATCTTGAGATTAATTTAAATTCTGTTTATTCACAACTGAACTCCTTGACTGTGCCATGGTTGTCACATGGATTAATGTGATTAGGCTCTTTCTCTGCAAAATATATCCTTAAACCTCTGAGTGCACCAGGCTCTTTTGAACCACAAAGGCTTACTGCCATAGAGATGTGGTCAAAAACATTAATAAAGCAGGTTTGCTTCTGAAGGACTTATTTTGAGTATGGTTTGCACCAGTCTCTGGAATGCCATTCCAGAGGGCTAAGCAGAGATTAACCCAGCTAAAGGAAATTATTCCAATGCCTTTAGTTAATATGATATTATCATTGTGTATTGTTAATATTTCTTAAATGCAATCACATTTTTTTAAACCAAGGGCTTGACCCAACTTGTACTAAAATCAGTGAAAGTATTTCCATTGGCTTCAGCAGGATTTCGATCTTGAAATCATAGAATCATAGAATAGTTAGGGTTGGAAAGGACCTTAAGATCATCAAGTTCCACCCCCCCTGCCATGGGCAGGGACACCTCATCTCACTGTTAGACAATGCTGTTCATGTTTCCTGCCCTGTGAAGTTACGTCTTCTTCATACATCTCAAAAAAGCACAAATCTCTTGGATCCTCAATTAGTATACCCTTTCCTTCAAACTGTGAACAATCCTAGATACTCTCTGGCTGTAGTAGCCCAGGCAGTTTTGCTCTTTTTTAACAGTTAAACTCTGCTGGGCTCACGTGCTCTCTGCAAATCGTTTAAGATAACTGCTTTGAAGCGACTGGTGGTCTTTGACCTACTCAAACAGAACCAGCTTGAAAACATTGTATATACTCACAAAACTAGGTCTTTTCACCAAAATCTCTCTTGCACTGGTATTTACTATGCCTATCATCTGTTTCTACATCGCCTTTTTATTTTCCCTACAGAAAGGATAATAGATATTTTTCTTAGCATCATCTGCCAATAGCTTTTCGTCTTTGGTTAGTGAACCAACATTTTCCTTATATATATTTAAAGTTCTATTTCTTGTAAACCTCATTTCACATTTCTTGCTGGTTGAGTGTTTTCAGCTTAGAATCACAGAATGGTTGGGGTTGGAAAGAATCTTAAGGCTCATCTAGTCCCAACTCCTCTGCCATGGGCAGGGACACCTTTCACTAGACCAAGTTGCTCCAAGCCCCATCCAGCCTGGTCCTAATTTCACCAAAGAATTCGTCCTGTAAACACATGCCTCTGAGGTTGGACTTGGGGTTGCCTCCCTCCCTTCGTCACGATTTTGAGTGTAGCTGGGGAGATGAGGAGCAGAGAGGACACTGCTTGTGTAACTGTGTCGGCAAAGGGGTAGCGAGGGAGGGATGCGTGGCTGGCTCATCATGTATGAAGTTAAAATGTTTGGCTATGCTCACTTTTTTGCCTGATGGTACCTGCCTTTGAAGTGCTGTTTACACATCATGCTTGAACATCAAGTGGAATTCGGGCAGTCCTATGGCATGTACAGCTGCGAATATGACTTCTGCCAGGTGTGTTCTGAGCCACATTTTTGGCACAGAAGGCACATAAGAAGGTCCAGGGACATGACTGTCTCTTTGGAATTCACGGAGGTGCTTTGGGAATGCAGCTGCTCCAACACCAAGAAAGCACGTCTGCATAGGGAAACTGGAACATGAATTCAGCATTGGGAGTGTGCTGCAGTGACAAATGATGGTTTTGTGACTAATGTAGAAGGTTGTCCCTGAAAAACAGGACACGGTTGCCTGAACCTGTTTTTTTGGCAGTGGAGCTGTTTCTCTAGCTTGTAATATCGTATTTCTGTGCATTGAAAAGGGCAGGGGCCCTTCACAAAAACAACAAAACCAAATAAGTGATCCCATCTTAATGCATATCCCAAAACCACCTACTCAGTTGCACAAGAAGCCTCTAACATTGGCCAACTACACAATGTAAGGCCTTAAAATCTTAGTAAGTTTTTTAGCTTTCAGTGGCTTCTGTGGGAAGTTAAAATTGTAGAGTGCAGACAGTAAAATTATTTAAGGATCTCTATTAAAAAATAAAAAAAAAAAAAAAGAAGAGAGAAAGATCTCAGACTCTTGTAATGAACTGATTTCCTAACCATGGACTACACTCCAGCACCAGGGGCAGAGAGAAAGATTGAACAGATTTTTCATTTTTTTTCTGTATATTTCTTTGATTCCATAATAACTTAGGAAAGAAAGACAGAAAAATCTAATAAAAAAAGGTGTTGTCCCCAAACAGATCCTGCAGTGGGGTCTGAAAATTAATCTTCCATTGATACAGACAGGAATTTTTTCTGGGTAAGGAATGGGGGACTGGGCTTTCATGAAGATGTGTCTTGTGAGCCTCAGAGCTAGAAATGTAGTTTTGCTTGGTGGGTTTTGAGGTACTTGGGGCAACACAATATTGGAGTTACTTAGTGGATTTGCCTTTACTTTTTTTTCCAAAAGTCCCATTATTCGCCTTGCCACCATGAAGCTTTAAAGTGATCTGAAGTGTTTACATAAAGAATGCCTAATAATTACATGCAGGGAACTGAGATAGTTTTTAATGTGGTAAAGAAATGACTTGGTTGTCAGGCTGCTGCATTTTGAGCCTCCAGTCTGGAAATGGGATACCTGAGGTGAGCAATGACATAATCTGCTGAATTGCATAATGAATTGCTGCAGGATAGAAGATGAAGGAAAAAAAAAAAGCTTTTCCTATGTTTGGAAAAGACTTTATGAAGAAATTACTATGTCTGAACAAAGTCCACTTACTTGGTGTTACAAAAGGCAAGGGAAAATTTAGTTGTCTGATTTACTCCACATAGACATTTTTGTTTAAAAGAGCAGCAGTCAGTTCAATGCTTCAAAACCAATCTGCTGAACACAGGACCCTGAGAGATTTTAGTGCATTCTCAACCATTCAGGATTTCATTCTTTATGTTAAGTGTTACAGAAACAAATCGGCCCTTTGAGAGCTGGCATTATATGCCATCAAAATCAGGAAAAATGTAGGTAGTGTCATTTAAGTAGATGCACAAGTTACCTTCAATTTTTCGTGCCAACAACTGGAAAGAGAAATTTCATGTACTTTCTAGCTTGCTGCAAATAGCCTGTTGTGATCACTCATGCAGCAAAAATCAAAGGCTTATTCGATAACAGTTGTGACGGGGAAGACCTGCTTCATAATTAATTATATGACATTAGCACACAGAGGTTCCATGGGGAAATCTGGCCTTTACTGCCACGGTTACTGTGGGTACATGAAATAAAAGGCCCCACCCTAACTGTCCTTCAAATAATTCTACTTGTATCATTGCTGTGCTATGAAGTCATTGGATTCCTTCTACAAATAATTTGCTTTTCACTAACATACTGTAATGGAATAGCACAGATATAATTTTGGTCTTTGTTCTGTTCAGATGACATCAGTGGACCCACGGTCTCCTTTGTCTATGGCGTTTGCACTTCCTAGAAACATGGAGGGCCCCAAGCTACAGACCAAGATGAGCACATGGACTCCACTGAATTCTCAACTTATGAATGACAAGGCAAGTTCTGTGCAAATGAGTGAAATTCATAGAATCCCAGAATTGCTGAGGTTGGAAGGGACTTCTGAAGATCATCTAGTCCAACCCCTCATGGCAAAGTCACACAGAGCTCAGGATCTTGTTTGGAATGTGCTCAAATCCCAAGACAAATTCTCAAGTTCACTTCACAAATTCTCAAGTCCTAGAAAAAATTAACTTATGCTCTGCCTGTGTAGGTCATGAGTACTGTAATAAGAACTTTACTATTAGACGTATGAATATATCAAACACACATACAGTCTTTATTATATATACATATATATAAAAATATTATTACATAAAAACTGGAAGTTCTAATGTACATTGTTTAAAGTATCCAAGTATTTAGTCCAAGTATTGTTATTTTGCCAAATCAGTTGTTTTCAAACAAAAAATTTGTATTCGTTTCTTAGTGAAAGTTACCAAATCATTCTTTTTCTGCACCACAACGCTTTAGTTTAAGACCAGAGCAAACTGAGTGTCAGAGTAAGTTTCTGAGTGGCCAGTGTGTGCCATCTCAGCTCGTAGGAGAGGCCTCCGTACCCATGCCCTGGCTTCTCTGCTAAGCCTTGCAGCGATGAGCCTCACTTGATATTTTGGAAACTGAAGTGATGCACTCAATTTATAAATAACAAGATGCGTTTCCTAACCTCCCACTCTTTATACTATATATGTTCATGTATCACCAGGAGCATATTACTCCCCTGGAATTCAGTTTAAATGTCTTTTGATGATTCATAGCATTTAATCCAGAGAGGGCCGTTACATCCGGTAGCCTGGCTTCCTCGATTTCTTGGGCCCTCTTGTTTCACACAGTTCTCTCAGTCTTGAGTTCAGGAACTAGAATTTGGCTAAAATATATCTTCCACGAAGGTATCCAGACTTCCTTTGGGGTTAAGAATCTTATAAAATAAAAATTTCATCACTTCCCTAATAATTTTCTCATGATTAATCCCCTCTACCATGAAAAGATGAAACCTTGGTCCTGTCTGAATACCTGTAGCATGAGCATCCACTATTTAAATCTTCCCCTGATAGCTTATTAAATCCTCCTGTAACCAGTATTTTTCCCTTGTGGAAGGACTTTTACCCTGCTTCAAGCCAACACTTGAACTTTTTTTGATAAACTAAACAGATTGAGCTCTTTGTTTTCTTTTCAATCTGGCATATTCTGCAGCCTTTGAATCATGTTAATGTCTGTCTCCTACACCCTTTAAAACATATATTTACAGATGCACATCACTGTATGATCTAACATTGCATGTTAGATCTAGCTAGTATTAATCTAACTAGAAATAAAGTATGATCTAATTAGAAATAAATATAGGGGTGAAACCACCCCTTACCATCTTCTTAATCCTCTGCTCCTTAAGCAGTCTGATGTTGCATTGGGCTGCAGCAAAACTTTCAGAAGTTCCTATTGAATTGTTGTATACTCAAATGCTAAATGATGTGCCAGGTAGGAAAGAACATACCATAAGCTCAGTGATTAAATTCATGATAACAAATGTTCGCTTGTTTCTGATCCAGGTTATAAAGCATTGACCTCCCTGAAACTTCTTTTTTATATATCAGTGTCCTGCTCTGCACTGTTAGCAGAAAAAAAAAGTACTTCCAACAAAGTCAGTGCTGACAGCTGAAATGAGGAGATAATCCAATTGATATATAGATATAAGGAGCTAGTGAGTGAGAAGGTGCCATTTTCATAGAACCATATCTCTGTTTATTTCTGCATTCTTGAGTTAAGGGAAAACACAAAGAGAAAATAATTTATAGATGGGAGGTATGTGAAAACCAGTGAGAAGATGAAAGCATAGAGAAAAGAGATGGCTGAGAAATGTACTTGTTAGTAGAAGAGGTAATGACGGGCAGGAGTGGTGAGAATTCATTCAGCTGCTGCCTCCATCTCTGGTTTTCTGCCCTTACAACAGCTGTTAGAATTAGAATGGTTTGGGTTGGAAGGGACCTTAAAGATAATCTGGTTCCAACCCCCTGCCACGGACAGGGACACCTTCCTCTAGACCGGGTTGCTCAAAGCCCTGTCCAACCTGGCCTTGAACACTGCCAGGGATGGGGCAGCCACAGCTTCTCTGGGCAGCCTGTGCCAGGGCCTCGCCACCCTCACAGGGAAGAATCTTCTCATAATACCTAATCTAAATCTCCCTTCTTTCGGTTTAAAGCTGTTACCCAGAACACAAAAGACTATCCAGGGTGTTACTACTGGGACACAGGCAGTCGTGGTTGTTTTTAAGTCAGGATCACCATCAGGGAAAGACGAAAAGCAAGAAATCAGAATTAGGAAAACTGAAATTATGTAGCATTCATAGTTAGAAAAACAGAGGGTGGAGTATTAGATATACCAAAGTTGTGCTACAGTCAAGAATGACGAACGATGGGGCAGCCTGCTCACCTGCAACAAAACCAGACAGACTCCATCATCAGCCCTGCTGAGTGCAGTGCTGTGCTGCCATTAAGGAAGGGCTGGAAGTCAGATGATTTGCCTTCTGCTGGGCAGTCATTCAGGTGTGGGGTAGAAGAACCACCAGTAGCATTTGCAGCAAGGGGTGGAAGGATTTGCCAGGCAGCCTTGAATTTGAGCTTATTTAAAACCACCTGAAGACATGGAGATGAGATGGCAGATCTTAGGAGCAACCTAGGCTTCAGGTTGTGTCCAAGGCCAGCCAGCTGTACACTGTAGGTATAACTCCAAGGCCTTGGAGGAGAGGACAGTAAACATGGGCTTGATCAAGGCAGAGGATGATTACACCAATTTTGGGCCATTGTGTTGCTAATTATTGCTTCCAAGTGCCTGGAGTAGGCAGAACTTTCTGACTGGGCTGGCTCAGATGTATCTCCAAGAATGCTGAAAGCAAATATGTCTTTCTTTGATCAAAGACCATTAACATTGCTTTCAGTTATATAAATAGCTTCCTGCTTCTCTTGAATTATCCCACACCAAACTTAGATCTTTGACTATTCATCACTCTCTTGGGCAAATCCTTTTCCAAGTTCTGCTTGTTAAGTTTGTTTTTTTTACACTGCCAAGTGTCCCACATGCAAATAAAGCAAAACATACAAATAAAAGAAATGTCATTTTCCACCCCTCTCAAGAGACACTCCTGCTGAGAGAGACAGAGCTAATACTGTCAACTGTTGCACCAGACATCCACACTGATAATATCTTTCTCTGCAGGAACCTTCTTTGCTGGCTGTCATATCAATAACATGTTTGGAGTTTATAATGATCACACATATTTTCCTAGTTGTGGTTAATAGCTGATTTTATGTGCAGTTACAAGCTCTTTGATCTGTCTTCTGGAAAAATCATGTACAACATTTCTTCACTTCCCAGGTCACAATCCTGAGTACAGAAGGCAGTTTTGTGGCAGTGGGAAGCCATGTGCTAGTGCTTGCAGGTCTAGCTCCCTATGGATAAAGGTCAACATCATAAGTCCTCCACTGTGTTTTGCTACTGATCATCCTCCATGTTACTTATCACTGTAAAATGACCAGGGAACAATGATTGGGCTTACTATGTTACTCCTAAGGGTCTTGCTGCGTTAAGATTGAAGCCATCACTAGGGCTGTGTGTGTTGTATCCTTTCTAGAAGATTTCAGGCACTCAGTGTCTCCAACTCAGGAGAACTGAAAATTCTAAAATAAAGAGGTAGGAAGCCAAGCTTCTGATCTCAGCAAGCACATGAGACATCACACATCACTGTATGCCCATGAGAGTAGGGCGCTATGTTGGTACATCATGTGGGCAGCAGCTGCAAAGCAGGAAGCTGAGAAGTAGCACATTGCAGCCACTCTGCAGAGCTGTTCTTCACAGTCCTGCACACAGAAGCCTTGAACTTTAGAGAGTTTTCTGCAGTGAAAGGAACCTTCCACAGGATCCAGTCTGTAGAGTTGAAGGTTAGGAAGAAGTAGATGAGACCTTTCTGTATGAAGCCTCATCTTCACAGGCCTTGGTGCTCGTGGGGAACTTTAACCATCCTGGTAGTTGCAGAAGGGACAACACAGTGGGCGCATGCGATCCAGAAGGTTTCAGGAGTGCACTGAGATAACTTCCTGAGACAGGTCATCAAGGAACCAACAAGGGAAGGTGCTCTGCTGGACCTCATACTTACAGAGAACGAAGAACTGGTTTGAGATGTGAAGGTCAGGGACAATTTTGGCAGCAGTGACCAGGAGATGATGGAGTTCAGAATACCTAGAGGAAAAAGCAAGACTATTTTCAGGATCACAAACCCACACTTCAGGATAGCAGACTTTGACCTCTTTAAGGATCTATGTGGAAGAATCACACAGAATGTGGTCCTAGAGAGAAGAGAGCTCCAGGAAAAAGGGTTGATTTTCAGACTTTAGTGAGGCTTTCAGTATTGTCTACCATAACATCCTCATAGATGAACTGATGAAGTGCAAATGGAGAGTGAGGTGGACTGAAAGCTGACTTACTGGCCTCAAAGGATTGTGATCAGCAACCCAAGTCCAGCTGGAGGCCAGTTACTAGTTGAGTACGTGAGGGGTTACACTGGGGCCAGGATCATTTAAAATCTTCATTAACTACTTGGATGACAGGGAAGAGTGCACCCTCAGCAAGTAATTGTAGATGATACAGAATTGGGAAGAGTAATTGATAGGCTAGATGTTTGTCTCAGTACATAGAATCATCAAACAGCCAAGGTTGGAAGGGACCTGAAAAGATCATCTGGTCCAACATTTCATGGGAAAAGGAGCCTAGATGAGATTCTCTAGCCTCCTATCCAGTTGTGTATTGAAAATGCCAGAAAAGGAGACTCTACCGTGTCTCCGAGCAGATTGTTCTGGTGATTAAGAAGAACCTTGACAGGCTAGAGAAATGGTCTGACTGTCTGCAGCGAACACCAAGTTGACCACAAGCCAGCAAAGAAGGCCACCATTTTGCTGGGCTACATTAGGAAGAGTGTAGGTGGCAGGTCAAGGGAAGTGATCCTTCCCCTCTACTCAGCACTGGTGAGGACAGATCTGGGATCCTCAGTAGAAGATGTGGACTTAATGGAACAAAACCAATGTTAGGCTGTAAAAATTAAGGTTGAGAGATCTGAGGCTGGTCAGCCTGGAGAAGTGAGGTTTATTGAGGACCTTATCAATGTATATAGATATCTGATGGGAGGCATAAAGAAGACAGGGCCAGACTCTTCTTGGTGACATTCAGTGAACAGACAAGAGGTGACAGCCACAAATTAAAATACAGAAAGTTGCATTTAAGTGAAATATATATATATATATATATATAAATAAATCTTACTGTGAGGGTGATCATACACTGTAACAGGGTGCCACACAAGCTGTGGGGTCTCCATCAAAGAAGATATTCAAAACCCATCTGGACATGGCCTTGAGCAACCTGCTTTAGTCCAAACACCTTAGCAGTGAGTCTGGACTAAAGGATCTCCACAGGTTTAGAATCATAGAATAGTTAGGGCTGGAAAGGACCTTAAGATCATTTGTTCCAGCCCCCCTGCCATGGGCAGGGACACCTCACACTAAACCATCTCACCCAAGGCTTCATCCAGCCTGGCCTTGAATACCGCCAGGGATGGAGCATTCACAACCTCCCTGGGCAACCCATTCCAGTGCCTCACCACCCTAACAGGAAAGAATTTCCTCCTTATATCCAATCTAAACTTCCCCTGTTTAAGTTTTAACCTGTTATCCCTTGTCCTATCACTACAGTCCCTAATGAATAGTCCATCCCCAGCATCCCTATTAGGCCCCCTTCAGATACTGGAAGGCTGCTATGAGGTCTCCACGCAGTCTTTTCTTCTCCAGGCTGAACAGCCCCAACTTTCTCAGCCTATCTTCATACGGGAGGTGCTCCAGTCCCCTGATCATCCTTGTGGCCCTTCTCTGGACTTGTTCCAACAGTTCCATGTCCTTTTTATGTTAAGGACACCAGAACTGCACACAGTACTCCAGGGAGGTCTCACAAGAGCAGAGTATAGGGGCAGGATCACCTCCTTCAACCTGCTGGTCACACTCCTTTTGATGCAGCCCAGGATATGGTTGGCTTTCTGGGCTGCGAGCTCACACTGCCGGCTCATGTTAAGTTTCTTATTGACCAACACCCCCAAGTCCTTCTCCACAGGGCTGCTCTGAATATGGAAGTTTCTTCCAAACTCTTCCATTCAGTGATTCAGTTTATATTTTGTAGATTGGTTTTCAAGATGTATTTTTCTTAGGATACATTGAATCCCTTTTAAATATTCAATTTTATTTGTGTGTGTGTTTTATAGATATTTGAAGAAAGAAGAGCCTTGCTTGGAAAATGGGTAAACTTTTCTCTTTAAATGTTATGTTTAAATATATATATTATACTTAAATATTTCTGAACTGAGGAAGAGATTGCTATAATGGAAATGTAAAACCTTTCTATTTTGAAAAACGGGTTCATTTCTTTATGTGAAAGTGAGCTGTAACTGCTCTACTTTTGAGGAAGATAAAGGTGTAAATTTCCTCAGTGCCCACATTCTGTAAGCTCTAAACATGGGAAATCATATCCCACCTGAAATGGGATAAGAAACCCTGGAAAAAGGTCTGTGAAGTCTTCAAAGAAGATACTGGATGTTTAGGTATTGCCATTGCCTGCTAGCAGGTCTTTGAAACCCGTAACTAGTGGCATGTTATCTACCAAATGCACACATATGGCTCCTCATACTGTAACCACTGAGCACCTCACATTTTTTTGTTGTCATTATCTTCACAGCTCAAACATAAGACAGGAAAGTGCTGTCACCCTGTTTTGTAGATGAAAAAATGAGGCACAGAAAGACATGAGATGGGATTTGTCTGCCCTAACCACACATGATTGCAAGTTAGGCAGTCAGGCTGGGGTGTCTCTGGCCGGGTGTCTATGTCTGAAACATAATACTCAAGCCTGTCTAGTCTGGTCATCACAAGCTCCTTGTGGAGTCAGCAGAGAGAAAACAGTGCTTCCAGAAGGTAATTCCTCTCACTTACTGTAGGACGAAAGATCAGCCCTCTGGGGGCGCCTGTTTCTTCCCACAGCCTATGAGGGGGGAGTCGTACTGGGCTGCTTGAAAGGAATACAACTCTAATTGACCTATGCTGAAAGCCAATAGCAGAGCATGCAAGGACACAAAATTTGCCTGAATCCTAAGCTCACCCATTAAATATCACATTGTGTTTTTTCTTTTATATGGCAAAATCCATGTACTATCCAGCCACTATGGGAAAACAGCTGTAGTCTGCTCAGTCTCTTGTGGAAAAATGAATATAGATTCAGGGATGTTATTGCAATAAATGATTCAGCTGAAAGTATTAATATGGCTCAGTAGTAACTGTATGGTTGAGCCCCGTGCACGTCTTTGTAAATAGAATCAAAGAACCAGTTATATGGTCATAGATGATACAAAAGCTAAACAGAAATATAGAAATGATGCTTTATAAAAGTATTTGCACAGTAACTTTATTTGAACTATGATGCTTAGTCTTTATGCCTAATAGGTCACTCGTGGAAATTTTTTGCATGTGAACTGGTCTTTACAGACAAGTATTTTGATTTGAAGCTCATAAGCTTTATTCATCTTGATAGGAAATATACTTCAAATCTTCTTGACATGCATGCATTTTGATAACAAGGAATTTCACAGGCACCAAGAAAACAAAATGATTGAATTATTGTTGTTCAAAAAACACCTTTTAGCATGACTGTCAGTAACTGACAGACCTAAAACCTGTCTTCTGAACACTGTTGGATGTTTTTAAATGCCCATGGGATATACCAGCAAAAGGGCAAAAATGTTTCCATTAGAACCCTCACTGAAAGAACCAAAAATCTGGAAATACTTCTTCCAAACACATGTCAGAGTGCTGAATCATCTTCTGAAAGGTTACATTTCTGACCCTTCATATGACACAAGATCAGGAGCTCTCATCACGCTCCTGTAGAGCTAATTCTCTTGTGCTTCTGTCATCTGTCATACTGATGCAAAGGGTGCAGAAAGCACAAAAGCTGCTCTTAACTCCCTTCAAAGCCTGTGGCACTATAGTATCTGGTATGCAAAGCCTAGGGCACTTTGAGTTTGAGAGAAACTGTGTCAAGAAATCACAGTGCTCAGGGCAGGAGTTTTAACATTGATTCACATGACCTTCTCCAAGTGCTCTCAGGAAATATGGACTAGATGGAACTGTTGAAGGGGGGAGTTGTATAGCTGGGAACCCACAGCCAATGTAGTTGTAAATGCTTTATTATGAAACTGGAAGGCTTAAGTCTGTCCTAAGTCCAGAATTGATAAGCTTTTTCAGTAACATCTGGATGATGGAATGGAAAGTACATACTCATCTGCAGATGATACCGGGCTTGGAGAAATTTCATGGCTTTTGGAGAGTAAAAATCAGAATTAAATGATCTGCAGTTTGATAAGGGCAAGTGGAAAGTGCTGCATATTAAGAAAGACATTTACAAAAACTACAGAATTGAGAAAATCCATTAAAAATTGCTGGGAACTATGGTGGATTGAAAATTCAATGCAAGCTGAGAGTGTCTTAGAATTGTAATAAAGGGAAATATCCCAAAGGGTTGTATGAAAGGCAGATCCATGCTCCATTCTGCTCCCTGCATTTTGAGAAAGCTGAGATCCAATTGGATATGCTTTTGAGAACAAGTCAGATGTGAGAAGAGTCTCAGGTCCAGAAAAATATGAAAATAATCTTTTTACTGTAGGGAAGATGGAGGAAAGATGTAATAATATCTTTCCAATGACACACAAAGGATGTCCAAAAAGAGGAAGGGAATGATCTGATCTCAGTGTTCACATTGGATAGGATAAGAAATCATGGACTTGTATTGCAGTGATGGAGAGGCAATTTAGACATGAGCAAAATCCAGTGCTACAGATAATTCACTGCTGGAATGGTTTGCCTAGGGGTCAGGGGTGGGATCTCCATCACTGGAGTCTTTCGAGAACAGGTCAGACAAACTGATGTCAGGAATGGTTTAGGTAGAGTGGATCCTGCCTTGTGGCAGAAGATGAACCAGCTCAGTGTTTCTCAACATTTTTACACTGAAGGACCATCCAACCTTCTGGGAAAGCAGAACAGGTTGCCTTGTGTGGCATTGCCACAGCGGTTTTCCTTGACAGCCAAATAATGATTAAACTTTGGCTGCTCACTGTTCATTTTATTTTATCTTTGTGATTTTATTTGCATGCATCCAGGGACTATGTATGTGCATTTTCATTCAGTTTTTTTTTCTAGTTGTGCCACAGAACATCTTTGATGTCTCCCAGGCTTGTTGTGATCCATAAAACATGGGTTGAGAAACAATGAACTAGCTCACCCGAAGGGATGTCATTTCTCTGTTCCTGCACTGCTGGGCAGTCCTGAAGGGCATGGGACTGGCTGTGCCATCACTTGCACTATCCAAGGTGCTCAATGGGACCCTCTACAATTTTTTGGCTGTTTCAGATTGTGCTGAGCTCCACAAAGTGGTATTGCTGCATGAAGTGAAAGCAGTGGTGGTATGTAGCAGCTGTTCCCGTGCACGCATATTTGCAGGATTTGATCCTACTGAAGGCATTTATACCTCCAGTATACCTCCAGGATACCAGCTCATTTACCCAAGTATCCAGATGCACATAGAAGAGAAATTGTGCTGCTGTCTTTCAGTTGAAATGCTTTTGACAGTTAAACTGTGCAAGGGTTAATGTATCTCTGCTAATTTTTTTCATTCTAGTTGCTTTTAGTCTGTATTGCACCCAGGGCAGATGCCTTGACATGCTGCCTCTCAGCCTCCTTTTCTGCAGTGTTCTGCAAGCCAAAAATTCCTCCCATTAATTCAAAAAACATAAAAGTATTTTGCTCTACCTTAACGTTCAGTGCTATCATGCTGACACCCAGGTTAATAAGTTGACAGTGAAGCTGGGGTTGAACTTGTAGATTAAGACACCTAAGCTTCAACGTCTCCAGGTGAGCTGAGCATCTCAGTTTCCGTTATAGCCAAATGAGATGTAGACAAGTCAGGGGAGCACAGACAGTGATTCAGTTCACCCTGTGGGCTACATCTTCTGTTAGTAATTTATACAGCACATCCGAGTGTTCCCAGGTACTGAAACTTGCTCATTCACACTATGAAATTGTTCGCACTCTCCCTGGCACGATTCTGGCCTGGGCTGGTAGCACTTTTCCAGTCATTGTTCAGACACAATTTGGACATTAGCCTGGCCAGGAACCTTGCCAAATTCACAGTTTAAATCTAGCCACTTTGTTTTGAAGGGTGTGAATACAATAGGGGGGGCATATGTGTTATCTAGCTCTCAGTCTCATTATCTATCTCTCATATCACAGCAAATACAATGCAGGACTTGCAGGCAACTCTCATCCTTGGAGTGATAGCTTTAGGCTTTGCAGGACACCCCACCACACAGGGCAATGGTCTTTGGGCAGCTTAACCCCACCCCTAGTCACTGCAGACCCCCACCAAGCCTTCCTCAACAGTCTTCACAGGATTCTTCTCTTGCAAAATTTCAGGATTAGTTGTGTAACTACAGTGGTGAAAGCAAAACCAAACAGATCCTAGGGGCTAGCTGGTAATGGCTGACATGGAGCTGCTTGGCAGCAGAGATGTTTAGGATTTGGTTGGGTGGGTTAGTGTATCTTACGGATATCAGGTGCCTGCCTGCTTCATCCCTTCTCACTCAGGTCCTGGGTCACCAACACATCCCTTCATCCATCTGGTAGAAGATAGGTAGGGAGGAAGGGAGGGGAAAATTGCTTTTCCCTAGGTAAATCATCTCCATCTACTTGCAAGCCATTCTGCATAAAAGCTTAGATGACTAGAGAATTCATTCCTACATATGCAGAATGGAGGGGTGCCTGCATGTGCTTGTAACCCTCTGAACTCAGGTTGACGTGCTGGGTTGGAGATGAGTATTATGTCCCATTTCAGTGGATAGTTCAAGTCAGTAAAACAGCTTGTCTTCTACAGCAGAGAGGGGCCTCTTTAGGTTAAGCGGCACAGCCTCTGTACTTCGGCACTGAGGTCCTGGGCTCTCCCTGTAGTGTCAGGCTGTGTTATTTGCGTGTGTGCACTCATGGATTAATTGTAAACTGATCGCAGAAGCAGGCACTGAGCACTCTGCGTTGCCAGCTTAGCCTTATGTCATACAGTCCCTGGGGAGACATTGTTCACCAGGGCTTTGGGAAAGGCACAGAAAAGGGGAAAACTGTTCCTAGCTGTGCATAGAGAAGGTGTAGCACCTTAAAAAGAGGAATCCTGTCCAACTGGTTGGGTTGCTGTAATCACACACAAGGGGAGGAACTGTGGAGAAAGGCAGCCAAATGTAGGATGGGGATATGCTTGTTAATACTGGAAAAGAGACAAATTATGCCTACTTAACTACTTGGCTGCTGCTGAATGCGATAGAGATGAAGCTATGTGTTCCCATGCTCCTGACTGTGCAGTGCTGCTTTAAATGGAGATTCCCTTGCAGTGTAAACACAGGTTAAGGATGCTGGAAGGAACTGCTTTGTTGCAAAACTGATGGCAGAATGGGAAGAGTTAAATATTCTGTCTCAACAGACAAGCTAGATTTGCTTTGATTAGTTCACTTAATTTCTTGGGGTGAAAGAGAATAAGCCAGTCACCCCTTGTCTCTGAAACATACATGGGAGAAATTTATCTTTGCAAATTGATAATTGCAGATTGTTTTAATGAGAAGAGGATGTAGCTGTGATCATGAATGGGGAGTGTACACAGCAGCCGCTTTTCCCCTTTAGCATGTGACAGAGAAAACCTTTCATGTCAATCTGAGGGTCAGAAGGGGACAGGCAGAACCTCCTGTGTCCTCCTCTGGTACACCTTTGTCTGATTTTATTCTCAGGGAACATATTTCTAAGCCCCAAATCCAAAGGTCCAGCTTCAGTTTTTCCTTAGTACTTTGCTGAATGTCATTAGAGGTGAAATTTATATGCAAAACAGGGATGGGAGGAAGAGGGTGTATTCCTTAATTTACTGTCTGTGTCTGGAAAAGCACGGACATTTGGAAGCTTTTTTCTGTTTGGCATTTCACCTCTCTGGGATCACCGGAATGCCAATTCCACACTTTCTTCATGCTGATTTTGTTCAAGGTCTTGCAGAGGTGTTAGCAAGAAGGAGAAGAGCTACTTCTTAGACTTCATTCTCCAGTACTGGAATTAAATACATCCAGGTAGAAATAAAGAAAGAAATAAAGGGTTCTTTAATATGATCTGGAAAGAAATTACTTCTCAATTACTTTTCATCTGCATAGTATATTTTAAATTATATTCTGCCAGTCCTGCATTTGACCATAGATTTGAGGAAGGAGGAGAGCAGAGAGAAAGAAAAAAGCTGAATTTCTAGTCTGTTTTGTTCTGAAAGGGAAGGGCAGGGACATTGGACATTCAATCATTTACCTGTAATAATAAAAAGTATATATAAGAACTGCATGATTTTTTCTTATTAGTTTTAATTTTTGGAGGTCACATTTAACTAAGGATTTCAAATGCCCCTGGGGTTAAATGCAGAAATTAATGCGGTGTGATTTAACCTGTGGAGAGCAAGTTGCCAACTTTCCATAGCTGGCTTCAGGAAACAGTCCTGTGAAAGCAGGGTGTGTGTCTTGGGGATGGCCAACACGTGAGAAAGAAACAAACAGGGAAAAGCAGAATTCCCCAACTAGGGGAATTCCCCAACCAGTTCAAATTTCCCTTTGAAAAGGAGGTGACTTGGGGTCGAGGCTGCTCTTGCTGTGCTAGGAAGAAGGGTGAAGCAGGACTTGTCTGGACCCCGTATTTCACCTCTGGAAAGCCATCTTCAACCATGTTGTGGTTCTGCTGCCTGCAGTTCCCACTGGGGATTCCAGCGGATCCTCCCTGCAGCCGCCGTGGTCCTCTGACAATTTCTGCCTCGCGGCACTCTGCTCTGCCCTCGCAGCCAGGACTGCTCTTGCAGGTTTTTGAGGCAGATTGCACAGATTGTGGTGTGAGGTCAGTCTCCTCCCAGGAGAGTCGTGCTGACAGGGCCCTTTCCATCCTCTGCTGTCAACACAAGCTAAACACCAGCTACTGCCACCATTGCTCCCACCCAGTTTACACAGCTCGGCCTGCTCTGCTCAACAAAGCATTGTTGTTGCCATTGTAGCAAAGTGATACATGCTTGTGTGGTTACCTGAGGCTCATTTCTTCGGACAGCTGTTTTAATCCTCCTCTTTAGATACCCGTCATAAGCATGGAAATGCTGTTAAGAATCTTTCTTACTACGCTGATGGATCTATGCCTCAAATTTTCCCTGTGAGACATAGGCAGCTGATTCTGTTTCTCTTTTCTCCGCTCCTCTGCAGTAGGAATTTCTCTCCAATGCAGTGGGATTGTGAGAATAAATACTTTAAATATTGTGAGGCACTAAAATATTGCAGTAGTGGGAGTCATAGAAGTGTCAGGATAGATGAGGAATCAGCACCAAACTCACTGCAATTTGGGACCCAATCCTGTAAACACACATCTGAGTATCCTTCTTTCCGTGACTAAAGCCAAGTCTCAGAGCTGGTCCCAGGAGCAAAGAGACTTGTGAGCATGAGTGTGTCCTGGACTAGGCCATCCTGGATCCTTTGAGGATTATAAATCATATGTTACGTGGCTTTAGAGTTTCTTTTAATGTAGCCTCTGCATTTGTTCCCAGTACCTACGTGCTTTGCTCTCGAATGAGTCACCAGAAGCTGCTGCTTATGCAGCTTCTCTTGCCTTAAATGTGTGCTTTATTTTAAGAAGCTGAATCTCTGGTTTCTCAGAACCTGAAACTCCTTTTTTCAGTTTGACAAGTGGACAGATGGTCAGAGGCGGAGGATCCTGGTGGACCTGTTGGAACGCTGCTCCCTATCACAGCAGAAATTCTGTGCCAAGCAGCTACAGAATCGAGTCCCCACTGAGGCTCTAGATTTTACCACAAGGCTTCCTAGAGTCCTGTCTTTATACATCTTTTCCTTCCTGGACCCACGGAGCCTTTGTCGATGCGCACAGGTAAAAAACCCAGCACGTACCTAAGGTTCAGAAATCAGGCCAAGCAAGATTAAAGAAAAGAAATAGCACTAGTTGTCAGCAAAGACATACCAGTGCTGTTCATGACGCAAGAATATCTTCTGACTCGGCAGCCTGGTGCCAAATTCTTAGTGATGCTTGTGTGAGACCGAATGCAACACTTCCACAGATCCTAAATTAATCTAGATTGGTCAAGATTTGCAGAAGTGAAAAGTAATTTTGGATACTCAGCTCTAAGGCATTTAAAATGTGGCACAAGACTGATTCTTCCCAAAGAGGAGGCCTGGTACTTTCTGAAAATCATGTTCTTTTAAAGTACCTTGCACTGTGTGTACAAAATCATTAATTGTTTTGAAAAATATTGGCTTTGTGCTAGTTGCAAAGAACTGCACATGATGCTTTAAGAAAACCAGATCCTTAGAAATCCTTGAAGGTAAAATGTTGGATGTGGAGAAGCAGAGAAGTTACAGATGTGCTTTTGAGCACAGTGCCTAGGATTCAGTCTTTTGTGCAAAGTGGCTAAGACTCCAAAAATACATCTGCATGAGACGAAGTGCTATGAGGCGATGCCCAAAGTAGTTCTGAATGAATAAGTTCAGATATTGGTGACACCATTACTGCCCTAACATAGCACTCCTTATAGAACTATGAATATATCAAAACCTCAGCTTGTTTAAAGCTTGCTGTACTGTCTTTCTCCAGCATTTCACATTTTATGTGGCTGCAAATCATGCTATTCATTCACAGGCAGGGAGATGACGGGTTAGGAAATTGCCTACTTAGAAAGAAAGGCCTTTCCATTGTTACTTGTGTCATATCATTGGGCAGCTGCTATTATTATAAGTATGGAAGTGCCAATAGATGACATGTCCTTAAGCTGGAACAAGCTTTATCAGTGGAAACAAAGGGTTTATTCCATCTACTGTATTCTCATTGAGTAGAAGTGAGAAGAGCGTGTAGCAAGTTCACTGCGCTGGACTTCAAAAGAGCAGACTTTGGCCTCTTCATGAACCTGCTTAGTAAGGTTCCATGCGATATAGCCCTAGAGGGAAGGGGAGCCCAAGACTCTTGGTTGATATTCAAGGATCACCTGCTACAAGCTCAGGAGTGTTGCATCCCAACTAGAAGGAAATGCAGCAGGAGGGCCAGGAGACCTCCTTGGATGGATAAGGAGCTCCTGAGGAAAATTCAAAGGAAAATAGAGGCTTATAAAAAGTGGAAGCAAGGAAGACGGCCTGGGAAGAGTACAGGGATGTTGTCGATGAAGCTAGGGACTGGGTAAGGAAAGCCAAGGCCCAGTTAGAATTAAACTTGGCTAGGGATGTTAAGAATAACAGGAAGGGATTCTATAGGTACGTAGTGAATAAAAAGCAGACTAGGGACAACGTAGGCCCCCTCTGGAAGCTATCAGGAGAACTGGCTACACAGGATTTGGAGAAGGCTGAGGTTCTGAATGACTTCTTTGCCTCGGTCTTCACTGGCAAAGGCTCTGACCAAACCACCCAAGCCTTGAAAGGTAGAAGGAGGGACTGTGAGAATGAAGACCTTGAGCCCACTGTAGGAGAGGATCTGGTTCGAGACCATCTTAAAAATCTGAACATGCACAAGTCCATGGGTCCTGATGAAATCCAGTCCTGAAGGAGCTGGCAAATGAAGTTGCTAAGCCACTGGCCATCGTATTTGAAAAATCATGGCAGTCAGGTGAAGTTCCTGATGACTGGAAAAAGGGAAATACAACCCCCATTTTCAAGAAGGGGAAAATGGATGACCCAGGCAATTACAGACCAGTCAGTCTCACCTCTGTGCCTGGCAAGATCTTGGAGCAGATTCTCCTGGAAGGCATGCTAAGGCACAAGAAAAAAACAAAGTGCCTGGTGACAGCCAGCATGGCTTTACTAAGGGGAAATCCTGCCTGACCAATTTAGTGGCCTTCTATGATGGGGCTACAGAACTGATGGACAGGGGTAGAGCAGTTGATGTCATCTACCTGGACTTCAAAAGGAGCATGACCAGCAGGTCGAAGGAGGTGATCCTGCCCCTATACTCTGCTCTTGTGAGACCTCCCTGGAGTACTGTGTGCAGTTCTGGTGTCCTCAACATAAAAAGGACATGGAACTGTTAGAACAAGTCCAGAGGAGGGCCACGAGGATGATCAGGGGACTGGAACACCTCCCGTGTGAAGATAGGCTGAGAAAGTTGGGGCTGTTCAGTCTGGAGAAGAGAAGGCTGCGTGGAGACCTCATAGCAGCATTCCAGTATCTGAAGGGGGCCTATAGGGATGCTGGGGATGGACTATTCATTAGAGACTGTAGTGATAGGACAAGGGGTAACGGGTTAAAACTTAAACAGAGGAAGTTTAGATTGGATATAAGGAGGAAATTCTTTCCTGTTAGGGTGGTGAGGCACTGGAATGGGTTCCCGGGAAGGTTGTGAATGCTCCGTCCCTGGCAGTGTTTAAGGCCAGGTTGGACAAAGCCTTGGGTGAGATGGTTTAGTGTGAGGTGTCCCTGCCCATGGCAGATGATCTTAAGGTCCTTTCCAGCCCTAACTATTCTGTGATTCTATGATTCTATGAAGGCCTCAAATGATTTAAAAAGCTTAACGAAAAGTTTAAATGGGACATAAACAATGCTGAAGAACTGTACTAGTTTAAGGAGGTAGGAGAATTACATCCACAGCACAGAAGTCTCTAGCTGCCAGTTTGGATGCTTGAGACCCCAAGGTTTCCAACTTACCAGGCATTCACAGGTGAGCTGGTACTGGAAGTACCTGTCTGAACTGGATCAGCTCTGGATGAAGAAATGCCTGCGTTTCGGCTGGTACATCAACTTCTCCCCAACCCCATTTGAGCAAGGAATCTGGAAGAAACATTACATTGAGATGGTGAAAGAGCTGCATGTCACAAGACCAAAGGTACGTACCTACTACTGCTACAGATGTTTGGGGCGAGTGGGAAATTTGGGCTGGTTGGGTTCCTCACACCTTTGCCTCTTTATCTGTCTGTAACTTTCCACTTGTAAAATAGTAGATTCATCATTTTAAATTAGAATCTAAACTCTTGTGTTGCCATGTGCTCTGGTTTCCCAACATCCATCCCTGGTAGGTGTGGGAAGTGAAAATCTCACTGATTAGGAGAAGCAATCACCAAGGTCAACCTCCTGTGCTTTCAGGATGTTCTGGAGTAATCCTGTATATTTTTCTCTCCAGCACTCGAGGCTGTTCCCCTATCTTTTTCCCCTGTTTATACATCAATTGATACCTTGTCTCAACTTGATTAAGCAGAAATGGGGTACCCAGCAGCACCCCTGCTGACATTTCAGAGTCAGTTTACCTGGTGGAAAGTTAAAAAAACACCCCTTATGCCTGTTACAGCCCTTGGTGTTGTCCCTTTCTCTCCTTTTCAAAGGTGGCAGGGACATTCTGGGGAGGTGGAACATTACTCGGTAGCCATTGCTTTTTCCTGAGATTCACTGATGCCATGTCTACTTTACAGGGCTGTGAGGGAAGATTCTGCCCTGAATTCCAAACTCAACCCTCTAATTTTAAGCAAACTCCCCCACAGACTTTCTCTGTAGTCAATAGAGAGACGCCAATGCATCTCAAAAGCAGCTCAGGTCATTTTAATATAGATTATGAGACATGGGTGATGACACACACTGTCAAGGTGTCTATTTCTGTCCATTGACCATAATGGAACCTGGAGAGACTAATTTTGAGTTAATACCCAATTCTCAGAAGCCTAAAGTTAGGCAAAATAAATCTCATTTTCTTTACAGGCTAAAATTTATTTTCTCTTTTAACCTCTCTTATTAGACTCCTTCAAAGGATGAGTTTGTAGTTACTAATGTGCAGCCGATAAGAAGCAACATCCCAGAAGCAAAACCTTTTGTGCCAGGAAAGAGGACAAAAAAAGAGAAAAAAGAGCTCCCACCATGGCGTTCATCAGACAGGCATCCTACAGACACCATCCGATTCAACTACCTCAACAACTATGATCCCATTGAGCAGGCCAGGCAGGCGTAAGCTTTTCTTTTGCTTACCTTTTGCTTTTTCTGCAACATAGGGTATGTCTGTGTATTTTGCAAGCTCACTTTGCCTGTGCTTCAAGCTGCCTGAATCCTTATAGTTCAGCAACATGGTGGCAAACCCACTTTGCTGCTCTTCTGGCTTTTCTTGGATTGACCTTGGTCCAGTTGTAGTTACAGCAGCACTACTTTGTGTCCTTTTAGCACAGAGCAGATTAGTGGCCGCCTGTAAAATAGGTTGTAAGTCTTGGGGTTGTTACTCAGCTGTAATGGGAAGAATCTGGTCAAGAGTCTGTTCAAGAGCTTTTAAATACAGCTGCAAGGTTGAGAGGAATCTGTCACTTTTGCACAGAAGAGGAAGAATTAATTGTGATGAAATATAATTTTATCACTTCAAGGATCTTCGGTCTGAAAAGAGATTTAGATGACTGAATGGGGGTGCAAGTACAAAAATATGAATATCCTATAGAACATTTAAGTAATGAATGTATTTGCATCTACACTTCCAGGGATAGAGTGCCTAGATCTGTCTGATTTTGGGTTCTCAGGATTATCTGGTCAGCAACTGGCAAAAGAAAGGCATTTCCACCATGAAGTACAGTTTTGCACATTGACTTGTGTTAGGACTGCCCCATGTTTTCCTTCGACACATCTGGCATCAGATGTTTTCAGAATCTTTGATCTGTGGTCAAATTTCCGTGCGTTAACAAACACCAGTAGAAGCAATAGCAAGGAGGCAGCAGTAGTCATCTGTGGGCAGTGTTTGGCCCATTTCTTGGTTAAATCTCTGTTAATACCACCTCTCATTTTTCATGGGCTCACAGTAGTTACCTCAATTCAGCTGATGTGCCATAACTTGTGAAACTGGCCAGACTATCATTAGTTCGAGCCTGGTGAACAAGTAGTGGATTAGCGTGGTAAATGCCTAGTTCCTGTGTGGGTCCCTGTGAAAAGGACTGCACAGCTTCTCACCCAGTCATATGTGAAGAGAGGAGGAGATTCCTCTTCACTGTGCCAACAAAAACCTTGGGAACCCACTGAGCCACAATGAAGGTATCCAGATTGCACTTTCAGTAAATAACTGATAGAGCTAAGATTAGCCCTGTGCACAGGAACAATCAACCCATGCATTATCCCAGCTGAGTGATTACTTGGCTAAGCAGTTGTGCACTTACGTAGTCTCCCAATGTGATTAACTTTGCTGGACCCACCACTCCTCCGGGGTGTTCCACAAAGTTCCCAGTGTCTGAGCAAAAACCTTTTATGAATCATTTTTTTAATCCGCGTCCCCTAGTCCTAGGATACTGCACTACTTCAAAGAGCTTTCCAGTTTCCACCTCACCTTCTTTCTGTGGTATGTTTCCAAACTCTAGCACCACTTTAGGTAGAGTTCTTTGAGGCTTTTAAAGAAACAGTTTAACAAAATGCCTCTTGCTGCAAATGGATGTCATAGAATCATAGACCTGATACTATTTTTCAGTTGTGCTAAATGTTTCTAGGTAGCAGGTCCCAAAGGTTTCTCTGAGGTTTAGGGTTCCCTTTTGCTAGCTGTGACCCACTGTCAAAAGTGGGACAAGCCTTGTTTGAAGAGTTAAAAAGCTGTTTGTTCCAGCATTGAGCTGTAGACACAGCTGTCAACCAGATGCAAATGATTTTGAGTTGCTAATGATACAGTAAGCACACTGACTGTTTTCTTCTCCCGAGATTTGAGCCTCTATCCATTTGTGCAGTGGAGAATATTTTAATGCCAAGTGTTCTAGCAAGTCTAGCATTTATTCATAATTACAGAGGATTATTGCAGGGAGAGAAATGAATTCTGTGAGATTTGCTTGTTTATCAAGGATCTCCCTTTAATCTCACTTAAGCTGAAAGTAATTACTAGTGTGTAGTCTCATCTGTAATGGTTATTCAGCAACACAGGTGTGCTGTTTCAGGTACTGACCCACCTGATATTCTGGTGCTTCTTTTCTATGGACACATTGCTAACAGAGTCCACACTGCAGCTCCTTCCTAGAAGTCATAGAATCACAGAATGGTTTGGGTTGGAAGGGACCTTAAAGTTTATGCAGCTCCAACCCCCTGCCACAGGCAGGGACACCATCCACTGCAGCAGGTTGCTCAAAGCCCCATCCAACCTGGCCTTGAACACTTAGTCCTCCTACTAAGGTTCTATGTGGTATCCTCTATCCTTTGCTTCTAGACAGCTACCAAGGGATTAGGTCTTCAGCACTTCACGTCTCCTATCTACAGCAGGAGCAGTGAGACACCACTTTTCATGCTTGAGTGTTCCTCAAGTGCAGGCTTTTGGTGGAGGTGGAAGTGGCAGCTAATGCATGGCTTGGGCAGGTGTAGGTTGCCTATCAATGGCAGCACAATGGCAAAGTGGTCCCCTCAAGGGTGCCAAGCATTGACTTGGATGGCTGATGAAGGCCATGCTCAGCCAATTGTGTCTTAGTTGAGCTAGGAATCTCATATGAATGCTATGCAAGATGATCTACCTCACTGCAGCCTACAGGCTCAGGCAGACCTAGCCTGACCAGTGCACAGGGTTGTAAAGTAGAACAGAGAACCAAGATAAAAATCTCTTCCCCCCCAGGCTGTGTTAGGTATAGTTACTCTTCAGTTTAGATGAATTCTTGGAGCTCAAGGGCATAACAACCACTCTTCTTGTAATATGAATGTCGTAAGTAATGAAATCTATGTAAAATGAGATTCCTAAAACAATAGGAGTGATGTCCCAAAATACAGGGTTTTGCAAAGGGACTCCAGCAGAGGAAACAGGTTTTGCTGCAGTCTGAATGTATATAGAGAACAGTGAATCTATTCTTGAGGTGATGAACGTGTGTGAAAAGATGCAGCAGAACTTGCAGAAAAGCAGCAGAAAGGCAAAAAGTGGTGGCTGAGAAAGAAGGACTAGAAAGAGCACTTGTGGGCCTGGAGGTTGACTGGAATGCTATGAGCCAAGAAACCATCCTTTCCATTAAAGTTCTGCTGTGCTGAGGAAAATCACGCTTGTCGAAAATTTATTTGTGAACAAACAAGGTTACATCAAAGAAATACCTGATGTAACAAGATTACATCAGGAATACCTGATGCCATCATCAAAGCAATGTGTGAGGCTAGTCACTGGCTACTCTTTGAATCAAAGTTAATCTGCCCAATGCCAAGTTAAATTTTGTAGAATTTAAAAGGTAAGAAAAAAAATAAGGTTTTTTCTAGCTCTTGGGCCTGGTAAAATCTCCTCTGAGCTGGACCTCACTCTATATTTGCTTTTTGGTCCAAAGAGAGGTGAGAACACTCTTGTTCTTACCAGGCCAGGCTGGATGGGGCTTTGAGGAACCTAGTAGAAGGTGTCCCTGCCTGTGGCAGGGGATTGGAACTAGATGAGCTTTAAAGTCCCTTACAACCCAAACCATTCCATGATTCTGTGTTCATCCTAACAGGGTGCACATGCTAGAGCTGAAATATTGTCATTTAAATGGCAGAGTTGTCATCTTTTTCTTTACTGCCCTTTTGAGAGGAGTCATTAGCTACATGCTCCCTTCCACAGTACCAAAACTATGCTGCTGTGAATTCACAGTAGAGAACTTATCCTTGCTTAGCCAAAATAAGGTGAAACATGGAGAGTGTAAAAAGCTACAGTCAATTCCCAGAGACAAAAGGAGTCCTAAGAGAGCTAACACAAAACATATACTTCAGGCTATAAGACTATAATTATATAATTTCAAGGGTATTTACCTTTGAAAAACAAGTAATTCTATTTCTGTAGAGCAATTGAGCAAGGGTTTGGCTTGGACAGAGCTGGTGCTTCACATCACAGGGGAGAACTATAACACTGTGCCACAGCTAGGTAGTGCCCCAAAATGCCAGAATGGTGTTAATTTGAAATCTGGATTATAATTGAGACTTGATTTGTTTGGATTTTTTCTGATGGATTTTTTTTTTTCTGCTTGCTCAGAAAGGCATGAGCTTGTATTATTCAGTTTTTACTGAATGGCACAAAAGAGCCTCAGTGACAAACATCACTGTGGCACACAGGAGATAGGACAGAGATCCCCAAATATGTTCTCTGAGAGGTTATTTGGTTTAGATGGGATCCTGTGGGAAAAGCTTCAGAGTCACTGAGCAATGAAATTAAGAATAGCAATGATCAGATGTGTAGTCTAGGGAGTGGTGAGGTGATAGAGAAGAGATACAGACAGCAGTTGAATTACAAATTGCCTGGAAGGGGTTATCAAAACCCTTCAGTAGAATTATAGCTGTGACTTTTGGTGTTGCTGCACGTACATGTGCAATTTATCACATGGATGATTTCTGGTAGGACTGCTTTGTTTTCTGCCTCAATTGTCCAGATAGCTTTCTGTTTATATAGAAACAAAGCAGAGAGCAGCAAGGATGGATTTGTCTCTTTGGGCACACAGCAATATTGAAAAGGTGAAGTGAAAGATTTTTATCTAGAGCATGGAATCAAGTTAGCAAATTTTCCCTGGGACTCTGATCTGCCTAAAAAGACCAGGAGGAGCAATTCTTTCAGTCCAAGCATGTACAGTTCTGCTGGAAGGCATCTGGTGTTTGTGCTGCTTGTTGCCAATAAATCAAAAGATTTGCCTCCCACTTTATCATGAATAATGAATTCCGATTCTAGCCTAGTGCTGGAACCTTGCCAAGATTGTGTCCTTGTGCCTCAAGAAAGAGCCCTGCTACTTCTCATGACAACAGCTCAGGCAAAATGCAGCCTCCTTCTCCCCCACTGCCCAGCCAGCTTGGGCTTCTGGAAGCCAACACTTAATTCAGTTAGATAATTTATGGACGTAGGCTGGCTCTAAAAACAGTTGCATATTGTACTGGAGTGTTTAACCAATGAGAAAATAATTACTTTCAGTAATTGTTCTGTTAGCAGCCTTGGCCCGGTTTCTGAAAAAAAAAGGGGCTTGCTTGCGTGAGAAGGGCATGGTGTTTCACTGTCCTTCGGAATCCTAATGCCTGTCTCCTGCTTATTCGTGTTTCTGAATAGTCAGCCCAGTACTTTTTGCCTATTAGGTTTGTGGGAACTCACAACATTCCGTAAGGGAAGAAAGTGGGGTGAGAAACACTGAGCTCAGCACTGGGAGCGAGAGACCTGCCATTCTTTTCTTGGCTCTGATGCCCTTTTCCTTTGCAGCACTGAGAAGCTCATCTGCACTGCTTACATCTTCTTGACCTTGAAGTGAGATTATGATGGTGATATACTGCAGGGGGGTGCTCTGACACCATAAGCATGGACACTAGACAGCAGTAGAAGTTAATGTCATAGAAACATGGAATCATAGAACCATAGAATGGTACAGGTTGGAAGGGACCTTAAAGATAATCTGGTTCCAACCCCCTGCCACGGACAGGAACACCTTCCGCTAGACCAGGTTGCTCAAAGCCCTGTCCAACCTGGCCTTCAACACTGCCAGGGATGGGGCAGCCACAGCTTCTCTGGACAACCTGTGCCAGGGCCTCACCACCCTCACAGGGAAGAACTTCTGCCTAAGAGCTCATCTCAATCTCCCCTCTGTCGGGTTAAAGCCATTCTCTCTTGTCCTGTCCCTACAGGCCCTTGTCAAAAGCCCTTCTCTGGTTTTTGGATGAGGCCTTGGGTGATATGGTTTAGTGTGAGGTGTCCCTGCCCATGGCAGGGAGGTTGGAACTAGATCTTAAGGTCCTTTCCAACCCTAAGTATTCTATGATTCTAGTTGGCCTCTTTAGGCACTGGGAGTTGCTCTAAGGTCTCCCCAGAGCCTTTTCTTCTCCAAAATCTTAATTTTCTCATAAATCTTAATTTACAACCACAAGACCAGGTCTGCGTTGTATCTAAAAATAATAGAATCATTTAGGCTGGAAAAGACCTTTTAAGATTATTGGGTCCAACCACAAACCTAACACTGCCAACTCCACCAAGATGACCAGTTAATTCCCCATAATAATATTTTGGACTGGATTTTCTCTCTTGACTGTTAGTGGTGTGTTTATAAACAGATTGCAGTTAGCCTTAATTTCCTATTTGAAATAATACCTGATTTGTCTTTATGGCTCTTGATCTGGGTCTCAGACAAGTGAGTACCAGATGTGCTGGTGTTGGCTGCTTATGAGAACATATGTATTATGTGGTGTGACTCTGTTTCTTTATAGGATAAATGTTGCTTTTAGAGTATGTCTTCATCCTTTATATTCATTATTTTTTTATTCATACTGTGCTTTTTAGCATGTCTTCCAGGAGCCCAGAGATGCTGGTGATGGAGCTGGGAGATGCCCCCAGAGATTGCACAGAGTTTCTGCTTTAAATTCCCTAATTGTCTATTGCAGAATTTGAATATGGAAAGGGAATGAACTCTTTCAGAGCACATGTGTCTATGAACCTGCCTGAGTTCTTAGCAAACTACCTCACAGGATGGATTTTACTCCTGATACAGGAAAAACATGGCAGCTGGGCATATTCCAGTACTTCACTTAATTTTCACTCTGGAATATTCCTGTTCTGCCAGTTCATTGTCCTGACTGTAGCACTAGCTGCATATAAATTTATAAATACATACACATCCACATATACGAGAAGTATTTGGCTATAAAACCCATGAATAAGTAACTTGTTGGAGGGGCAGTCCCCCAGCCTTATTTATGTTACATGAACCTCTCAAATTCATTTAGCTAAACTTGCCTTACTGTGAATTTCCCTAAGCTAATGTAACACATAACATGGATTTAGCTAAAATCAGTAAGTCTCAGGCTAAAGGCAGGTTTATGAAGGCTAGAAAATATCATAACTTAAAAAATAGCAACTTACTGCCCTCCTCTGAGCCACAGTACCAGAGTTTGCACTCTTGGTCTTCCCCAGGTGCAAGATAAAATTTATTTATCTTAAACTATGTCTTTTCAGGTGGCAGTATCATAAGGGATTTTCTTTTTCTCAGCCCCAGGGAACCAACTCCATAGCACTCATTAATACCGTTCTCTTCAACTCTGCAGGAGAAAGAAAGGAGGAGGAAAGACCCCAGACCTTAGCCGGCAGGCAGCTGAGAAAAAAATGAGGGCAGGTCGTGGATCTAATAAGCTCCAGAAGACAAAATCACTGGTAAGTATCACCAGCTTGCAATTACATCAACGGGGGCCCACTGTCAGACACACCCAGGGACAGTTTAGCTCAGAGTTTTTACTTTACTTAAGTGACTGTGAAGCTTTGCTTCTGCTGTCATTAGGCTGCCTCTCCTTAAGGGAGATACCTGGGCAGGAGCAGGACACAGAGTTCCCCTATGGCTGCCCCGGGGGCCATCTGTCATTGCAGCCTAGACATAGTCCGTCTGCCTCCGGTGGGAAAAGGGCAGCAACTGCACGCAGTGACCTTGTTATCTGCTCCTCCCTCCCTTTGCTTACTGTACAGTGTCCTAACAGCCTGTTGCCATGTTTTACAAAGCACTGGATCAATTCTCATATGAGACTTGCATCTCTTCCCAAAGCTTCTCTTCTTTGTTGTCAACTTTTGATCATTGCAGTTTGATGCTCATTTATTCTCTGTTCATTGCACTGAGCCTGAGCAAGCAGCCCCAAGGTCTTAATACTGAGGATTCATTGTGCTCATCGCTAGTAAAATAGGGCATCCTCACATGAAAGAGTCTAGGGAAGTCAGGCTTCCAGAAAGCATCACGGGTCTGAGCTTTTGTAGATACAGCAACAAATAACTGGCAGAAGAAGGACGTGCTCACAAGCGTATCAGGGGTTTTGCAGACCTTGAAGTGTGTTTCCTAAGCAATGAAAGCCAGGGAACACATATGAGTTGAACTAAAGAAGGTTTACATAAAAGAGAGGCATTGTCTCCTGAGACTGGGAGCCATTCTCCTGACCCAAATACAGCCTGTTTGCAAGGAAATAGATTCAGACAGTGTTAAAGAACAGAAAATATTCAGCCTGTGTCTTACAATTTCCACTCTCCAATAGCTTCCTCTGTAGCCCTTAGATCAGAGCGCCCTTACATGGCTTCATTCCGCCACAGCTTCCCATTTCAAATTGAAAGCTGTTTTATTGTCAGTCCAGAAGTGACAGAATCTTGGATCAGGTAAAAAAAAAAGAAGTAAACTGGATTTGCTTTCCCCAGGGGTTTTAAGAAAGTTGTGTTCTTCAAAGTTTCTTAACCTGCAACCCCCAATCAGGAAGGCACAAGCACCTGGTCTAACTCCCACCATGAAGTCCAAATTGTACTGCACAACATCAGTGGAGGCTTGAACAGTGTTTATGTGTGTGCCACCTCCTGTTGGCTGCTCCCAGTTTAAAAGGGACATTATTATTCCTGTAGCAAACAGTCACCAGAAAGCATTTAGCTGACACAAAATGATCACAAACAGATGTCTGGGAGAGCATGCAGAGTTAATGGGTACCAAATTCACAGAATCATAGAATGGTTTGGGTTGGAAGGCACCTTAAAGCTCATCCAGTTCCAACACCCTTGCCACAGGCAGGGACACCTTCCACTAGACCAGGTTGCTCCAAGCCCTGTCCAGCCTGTGCCAGGGCCTCGCCACCCTCACGGAGAACTTCTTCATCGTATCTCATCTAAATCTCCCCTCTGTCAGGTTAAAGCTATTCCTCCTTGTCCTGTCCCTACATGCCCTTGCCAAAAGCCCCTCTCCAGCTTTCTTGTCAGCCCCTTTAGGCACTGGAAGCTGCTCTAAGGTCTCCCTGGAGCCTTCTCTTCTCCAGGCTGGACAAGCCCAACTCTCTCAGCCTGTCTTCATAATTCTCACCCCACAAAATGCCCTGTGAAGAGCCACTACGTGCTCCCAAGGTCTGACAGGTCACCATCCTCCATGGGTCCCTCCTAGGCAGTTACAGCAGCCTAATCCAGGGGTGAGTATCCTGAAACCCATGGGGTTACACCTTGGTGACTGACAACCCAGAACAAAGCTCCATGCCTTTGTGCTATGCAATCTTGGTAGGACTGGCTTCTCTTTGTGTTATAAATCCAGCGTAGCCTGTCTTGGTGTGCCACCCTTTCCTAGACCTTTACATTAAAAACAGGCTTAGTCTGAGGTTAGAGGTGTCCAAATGTCAGTAGCAGAGCTGTGTTTCTTATTCTCTGATGCATAAACCCACTGTTACACTGGCCATTACTGACTACAGCATTACATGACAATAAAGGTTAGGTTATGGCAGGCTGATGCATAGAGAAAGAATATATACGACTCACTAGGAATAATCCAAAATTAATTTCCATTTATTATTAGGGTAGCATTGGGAAACCTTGTTGAAATGAAGACATACGAAAAGACTCTTATTTAATCAAGTCCAAATAAAGAGGCTTAATGCTCAAATCTTTTAGTAAAATCTTAGAAGAATAATAGACTATGATGAAAGAGCAAGTGCCCCAAGCAAGCAAACACCAAGTCAAATTAAAAGGAAGCTCTTAAATAGATCGATGATCCAAGTGCAGAAAGTAGGTGAGAATGAAGTATATTACAGCCAACAATGAAGATGTGAAAAGGGCTATTATATGGAGCTCCAAGCTCAGGAGGCTGCACAGCACCACACCAAAATAGAATAAACACATAATTAAGGTGATGACCTGAGTCCTGGAATTACATGCACTGGCTCCACATTTGCATGTAGTGAATCAGTTCTCCTCCTAGGAAACTTGTGAGGTTTTGGAGTTTATTAGTAATCACGGAAACAATAGCATACTGTGACCAGGCTCACACTTCTTTTAGAATAAATTAAAGTAAATTAGCTAAATTACAATAAATAGTACATTACAGTAGGTTAAGTATGTCTCTGAAGGAAGGGCCATATTCTTTCTTATGAATGTACATACAACCCCCGTGTCCCTACAGTGGGGAGGGAATACTTGCTCTACCTTTATCCAGGGAAATGCCTTATTTTAAGGATGCAGAATCATAGAATAAGAGAAAGGTTTGGGTTAGAAGGGACCCTAAAGATAATCTAGTTCCAAGCCCCTGCCATGGACAGGGACACCTTCCACTAGACCAGGTTGCTCAAAGCCCTGTCCAACCTGGCGCTGAACACTGCCAGGGATGGGGTAGCCACAGCTTCTCTGGACAACCTGTGCCAGGTCCTCACCACCCTCACAGGGAAGAACTTCTGCCTAAAATCTCATCTCAATCTCCCCTCTGTCAGGTTAAAGCCATTCCCCCTTGTCCTGTCCCTACAGGCCCTTGTCAGAAGTCATCACCCCTCCTGTTCACTCTGACATGGAGCAGCGTTGCCCTGCTTTGATTTCTGAGCTCTGGCCCATTGCAGGCTTCACTGTGGCCACACCAGTGTCCTTTGTGCAAGTCTCTGAGGACTGCCACTGAGGAGCCTTTTGCAGCTTCTCATAAAAATTGGCAGCCTCATGCCCAAATGTCAAAATTTGCAGATGCCTTATTAGGAAGGTACAATTTGACTGATGCTTTTGACAGCTTCGCAAATGACTGCCATGTCAGCAATTAGGGGCTGGTTTTGCCTTTCAGGCTGTCTGCATACTTCTGTTCGAGAACCTGCTCCACCCCCCCAGCTGTTCCTGAATTACTGACTTATTTTTAGTACTTGATAAATACCATCTTTTTGACAGGATCAGTCATTCTTGCCTTCCTGCCTATATCCTAAAGTAATAAGATTGAAGCATTTGAAGTCTGCAATAATTTTTCCTGTGACATATTGACAGGGAATTGATGTTTTGAGTATGAATCACATTTATGCACTGTGTGGATCTAGCTCACATGAAGATCCAGTGCTCTCAGCACTGAGACATGGTTCTTTCCAGTGTATATTTATATTCTGCACACCTTATATTTTGAATTGTATTTATTCACACAAGAAAAGAACTTCATGGGACTATTCCTAAGACTGAAAATAGCTCAATATGATGCTTGCATATTCAAACTCATATGTGTCACTCGAATTTTAAAAGTATAGCCTGGCTTTACTAGTTTATGCCTTTCTGTCCTAGTGAGCTCTAAAACTGAACCAACAGCATATGAGCTGAAAAGCCCAACATGGCCTGGCAGTGTGCCCTTGCAGCCCCGAAACCAACCATGTCCTGGCCTGCATCACCAGCAGTGTGACCAGCAGGTTGAGGGAGGGGAGTTTCCCCCTCTGCTCCACTCTGGTGAGACATCCCCTTGCAGTTATGTCGTTCTATGATTCTACAAAAAGCAAAGAATAGTCAGATGTGTGCTGCAGCTACTACCGCTTCTATGATGGTGTGCGTTTCATACTAGGACAAAAAACCTGCAACTGCTTTTATCACACTGTCTCTGTCACACAACAAATATTGCCAAGAACCTGGACGACTTTGGGCAGTTGGATATTCACTGGCCTTTCTTTAGATTGATATTCAGCAGTCTCCGGGATAATTAATCAATTAGGCATCAAGCACCATCTATGTGCCATTGCTGCCAACTCAAATAATGGGAAGGAGAAACAGGCAGTCAGGAATTGCAGAACAGCATTGGCTTTTCTGCATAACCATTTTACTATGGACACTAATCTCACGTAAGGGTATCTGCCCACATTGCTTTTTAATGAGTTGCTATGTAAATGTTTGGGTTTGTTAATGGTTGTTCACTATTCTTACTAAAGAATTTGCATCAGCCAAAAAAAAAGCCAAAGCAGTTGGTCTGCAGAACCTGTGCTTTTTGAATATTTGGAATCTTTTGCAAGGAATAAACAATCACTGTGTTGATAATATTTTTTGCTTAACTTTTATACTGTTTAGTAAAGTGTTCATTGAATAGTGTGTAATAATAAACTTTCTCTTTTACACTGCAAGACTTCAAACAGTGAGACTGGGATCAGTCACAACCATATGCACGGGGGAGAATTTGTGCATTAACATATGAATTGATGTGGAGAATCAATTACTGTGCATTTGGCTTTACCATCAGCAATTTCTAATTGGGTCCTTTTGTCCATAAGGGAAACTTATATCAAAGCACAGGTCACTGCAAATAATGCAGATTATGCTTGTATCATTTAGGAATCTAATTTAGGAATCTAATTTGGGGAAATAATTTAGGAATATAATGTGTAGAATATATAGAGAATAAATATAACATGTATATAGAATGTGTAGAATTTAAAGAAGTTCTTAGTGGTCTCTAATGTTTTCAATCCCTCTGAAGCAGTTGGGATGATATGACACTTACTGCCTTCTGTTTCTAGCTATCACTTCCTGCAGATCTTGAGACTGTTCCAAGACCACCAGTTCATCACTGCCGGGCCACTCACCAGACAGTCGGAAACCTGCCCTCAAAAGCAGCAGCAAAGACCCTGGCCCAGAGTTCCCAGTGGAATGCTGGGGTACAACCAGCACCTCTTGAAGCTCTAGTGCCAAAGCCACGGAAAGGAGGAAAGACAGACTATACAAGGATTAACACCACATCTCCATGTCAGGATGCTGCCCTGTCCAATACAGTGAAGCTATTATAGAGATTGTCAATATCTAAATTTAATGCACAAAGGGAAGGAAATGGTGCTCGCAGTATGTTTCTGTAGGCAGAGGCAGTCATTCTGGATGGTGAGGATCGAGATGACAATGATCTGCTGCATCAAAGGACAACATATGGCCAAAGACGTCACATCTAGCACTTGCTAGATCCACCTGTCTGTCAGGACTGTCATCTTCGAACTGAACACTGGCATGGGTTTAACTCACTAATACTCAATGGCAGAGCAAGAGATCTTAGGTCAGAAGTGACAGTGGGCTCAGTCCGAAGTCCAGGAACCCTGCCAAGGCCTGGATAGATGCCAGGAGGAGCTGGTGTAGTTGGGTTGGAATCAGAGCATTCAGCAAATTGCAACCAAAAGCAAACAACTCCAGGGAGAAAACAGCTGAGAAATCAGCTGATCTGTGAATGCTTTCAAAAAATAAGGAGGCAGACTGACACAATCAAAAAAGATTTTAGGCCATTTCAGTCTAGGGTTGGCTTGGGTAGTTATTCATGATGAGCACACCTCATGTACACCCAGTATCTCCTAAAAGTCCTCAACATCTGCAGCCTGCTGGGCAAGTGCTTTGGTACCTTTCAGAAGCCCACAAAATTGGTGTAGTTTTTGGTGAAAGTCCCAGTAGTTCACAAGTGAGTTGTCAACATAAGGATTGTGGTCTGTGACCCTAATGACTTTTTATAGTGCAAGAAGGGGAGTGGATAAAGAACCTAGAGAGAACAAAGGAAAAGAGGCTTCTGATGTGATCTGTCAGGATTTTCAAAGAGTGGGGTAGCGTGAGGGGAGCTCCCAAAGGGCAGTGACTACCCAGTAACTACTGATGACCCCATCTAGAAAGGACATAATGGAGTCCTCCATCATCCCTTCGGATCTCCCTAGCATCTAGTGTTTATAGCAGGTCCATAGGCTAATTCCCATGAAGAGGACCCACAGTGCAAAAGGGTGATCTCAAATCCTTGGGGGGGGGGGGGGGGGGGGGGGGAAGAAAAAGGATCTAAACACAGCCAAAGGATGATACATAGGGGAAAGCACTGAAATGAGTAAGGTGAGGCCCAGGAAAAACACATGGTGATGTCTTTGTGTAGGAAGCAGTACATAAATGCATTCTGTCTACAAAAGCCAAGAGAGGAAAGCAGCAAGGAAGTTTACAGTCTCTCATACTTCTACAGCAATATAAGGTACATGAAGTTCAACAAGACCAAGTGCAAGGTCCTGCACCTGGGTTGGGGCAATTCCAAGCACAAATACGGTCTGGGTGAGGCTGGATTGAGAGCAGACCTGAGAAGGACTTGTGAGTATTGATGAGAAGCTCCCCATGACCCAGCAGTGTGCACTTGAGCCCAGAAACCAACTGTGTCCTGGGCTGCTTCACCAGCAGTGTGACCAGCAGGTCGAGGGAGGGGATTCTCCCCCTCTGTCCCACTCTGGTGAGATTCCCTGCCCTGCAGTCCTGCATCCACCTCTGAGGTCCCAACATAAGGGACATGTTGCTGTTGGAGTGAGTCCAGAGGAGGCCACGAAGACGCTCTGAAGGCTGGAGCACCTCTGCTATGGAGACAGGCTGAGAGAGCTGGGCTTGTTCAGCCTGGAGAAGAGAAGGCTCCAGGGAGACCTTACAGCAGGGAGACCTCCAGTGCCTAAAGTGGCCAAACAGAAAGCTGGAGAGGGGCTTTTGACAAGGGCCTGTAGGGACAGGACAAGGGGGAATGGCTTCAACCTGACAGAGGGGAGATTGAGATGAGATATGATGAAGAAGTTCTTCTCTGTGAGGGTGGTGAGGCCCTGGCACAGGTTGCCTGGAGAAGCTGCGGCTGCCCCATCCCTGGCAGTGTTCAAGGCCAGGTTGGAGGGGGCTAGTGGAACGTGTCCCTGCCTATGGCAGGGGGTTGGAACTGGATGAGCTTTAAGATCCCTTCCAAACCAAACTATTCTGTAATCTCTGACTGCAGAGGAGAACAGGCAGCGAAGAAAGAAAAAGACCACCAAAAAGAAGAAAAAAACCCCAAACAACTACACAATAAAAAACCAAACTAAAACAAAACAAACAAAAACCCCCAAACAAATGAACAAAAAAAAAACAACAAACCCCCCAAAACAAAACTAACAAGAACAGCAAAAAACCTAACAAATGACAGAAAAAAACATGAAGTGAGGTGCTGACAATACCTGAGTGACCTGCTCTTGTGATCTGCGGGCTGCTAAAAACCCTTCTGTGAAAACCTCCTGATCTTGGGATTGACTGAAGACTTCTACCATGACGTTCAGGACCTGTGTGCACCTGGGGACCAAGGGGTCAGCAGGGTTTGCAGGGAGGGAAAAGGGCACACGGAAAGAGCCATAGGCCAGCTATTCTAACTGCATGGACTGGTTTATAAAGCCACCGGAGCTGCTCTGGTTACTGAGGCACACACAGCCTGGCAGGCAGGTTGCACGAGGCTCTGTACACCATCCTGCCTTCCCCACCTCGCTGGGTGCGTTTGGCAGCATCCTGCCAATCCAGAGCAAGATCCCAGGATGAAACAGGTTGAAAAGATCATTTAGACCATCTGCTCCTGTTGCTACCTCTCTCCCGCCTTCAGGGCTTTTTGGAGAGCTGAATTCAGTTTTCACTTCCTACAGGATGCACTGGGAGTGCCCTGCAATGTCTGGACCTGTCTCCACCTGGGATTTTACCTCCCTGGGGGTCTCCCAAGCATTGTGTGCCAACCAACAATTTCTCTGTGGTTTGGAGACGGGTTGTGCTCAGGAATCAGGCTGCACAAGCAGTTACAAAGCATCTATCCAGACATGCATCTTCTGCCATCATCTTTCTCAAGCCTGTGGCAGCAGCTGCTGTGCAGCAAGGAGCATTTCAGATGCAATCAGGGGTTGTCTGTGTGTCTAGCTTTTCCCTGATTTGGGCTGACTGGGGTGTGAAAGCAGTTCCTTCTCCTGAATGGTTTGGTGGTGCATGTTCTCTGCAGCATCCACCTGGAGGATGTCTTTGCATGGTTTTAGAGACAGCACAGAGCACAGGACAGGAAGGATGCCCAAGCTAGGTATATGATAAAGTGATCAGTCTAAGAGCATGTCCTCAGCAGGGACAAGGTGACTGATTTCAAACCAATTCCTGCCCCCTATTCTTCTCCTTAATCCACGCCCCCCACCCACAACCCTTCATACTGAGTCACTGCCACCTCCTCAGCCCTTCATTACGTGAGCTAAGCTGTGTGCTCTCCATTCACTATCAGCTTCATCCACCTATTACAGCAACTTTTTATCTTACATTTAGCTACTATCATTAACTGCTTTCCCTTTGCCGCAAGGTCTCCACACTCTTTGGTAACCATCCTTTCACCTATTACAACCCCAATGCCACCGCTGAGACTTCGTTCCCTGAATGCACTTACTTCCCTGGCAACAGCCCACGTTCACTCTTTTTCTATCTTGCCACACAAGTTGGAAGATTCAAAAAATCCTCAAGTTTAATCCAGCCATGCTCTCACCTGCAACTCCCATCAAATTCGGTTACACATCATCCTTTTCCCCAAGCTTCTGTGTCTTTAGCTTTGAAAAGCATTAATTAGGAAAACTTCATTTTGGCTACAAAGCCAAACTAGAGCATCAAACTCTGCCACTGCTCCCGGCAAAGAACACCAGGTAAATGCAGGTGGAGTTCTGGGCCCAGAAGCGGACAGGAAAGCTTGGATAAGAGGGCAGCTGGCATGCGTGGGTTTGTTCCCCACATCTGAGCAGGGCTGTAGCCTAGGGCTCACATTCTAATCTTGCTTGTACTGGTGGAATCCAGATGCAGCAATGCTGATTCATTGGCCTCTGGGGTTTAAAAGGCACTTTCAGTTCTTTAATCAAAGGCTGTGGCTAATGAGAGTAGAGCAGATTCTGGAAATGCCAAGCAGTGCAGGGAAACGCATCTGTGAGGAAGAGCACAGGCTCAACAGCCTTTCTCTGTACCTCTTTAGGGATTTCTTATCACTGTCTCTGGAAGCGCACTGAAAGTAGTGAGTAAACAATGCTCTGCCCCTGCACATTAGCAACCAGGGCACAGGCAGTGGGAGCGCTTGCCTGTGGCCAGCCAGCAGCACAGTGGCAGAGGTAAGTGATGGAGACTGTCCCACTGTAGTTTTTTTACTCCATTTCAGATTCTAACCCATTTTGTGACCTCAGGAATGATTACGAAGCATTTTGGAAGTACATATATTTTTATTCTAATAACATAATTGGTAGGAGTTACATCAAGACATTATTTAGGTCTGCTGTTCCATCAAGGATAGAGACTACTTGGCTTGGTACATTCCTGGACATTACTGTTACTTATTTTACAGCATCATAAATACAAATGTTTCCAGTGAGTATGCTCAATGCTGAGAAAATAAAAAACATTGCTACAGGGTCCCATAATTTCCTTTTGTAGCCATCTGCTCTTTTAAACACAGACCTAGTGCTGAACTGCTGCCACAAGAAGCTACACGCTACCTAATGGATACTAAAAAAAAAAGGCAGAAACAACAGTTTGGACTTAAGAAGTCACAGAAAACACCTGTGAAACAATCAGTTTAACTTGGTTTCCTAGGGAAAAAGCTTGGGAGATTGACTGTGAGGGTGGTGAGGCCCTGGCACAGGTTGCCCAGAGAAGCTGTGACTGCCCTATCCCTGGCAGTGTTCAAGGCCAGGCTGGACAGGGCTTGGAGCAACCTGGTCTAGTGGAAGGTTTCCCTGCCTGTAGAACCAGATGAGCTTTAAGGTCCCTTAAACCCAAACCAGTCTGTGATTCTGCAATGATTTGCAATACCAGAGAATGACGCTGATTAATGTTTTGGATGGGATTTGCCTCACCACACTTTAAATGCTGAAAAGTTAGTTTTCTTAATCAGAGTTAGTCAGTCTGGTCTCTTGCATAATCAACGTATCCTAAGATACATGAGACAATTGTCATCTGCAGGTTCCTATTTCAGCTGATTGCTTGAGAAGTGACCAGCTCAGACTTCCATAGCCGTTAGCCCACCGTGTTAGTTGAGATGAACTCTTCCTTCCAAGCATCTATGTCAACTAGAAAAAATGAAAGAACAAAGTCTTGGAGAAGGAGATACACTGATTAACCTGATCATTGCTTTGAAGCTGGAGTTCACACAGCACTCTACCAAGTACTCCAGTGGGCAGAGTCTCCTGCTGGATGCTCTCCCTTCAGATCAGATCTATGGTGCCTCATGTCCCATATCTGGTCTTGGAAATGGTCAATGTCTCTCACACCAAAAAAACCTTGAAACCCTTAAGTGACACAGTGCAGAATAATCTGCCTCCATAGCAGAGTCTCCTCCTAATCCTTGTCCATCAGCACTTGGAATTTTCTCTGAATCATGATTTCTAGTCTATAAATGTTGAGAATTCATGGGTACTGTGAGTCTTTCTAAGATGTGGGAAGGTTCAGTTTTATCCCAAGCTCTCTCACTCTGGGATGTGATAAGGCAATGAGTTACAGGTGCTGTGCATTCAGTATCCTTATCCTTAAAAACTGCTATTCATTACATTTACTGGGTATTTCTTTAATTGCAGAAAAGACAAATAACAGCACATAATTTACATTCTCTTAAATAACAGACTAGTGCCAGCTCTCCACACAGAGCCATGTGCAGTGCTGTAATCCACTGTGGGATTTGATTTTTTTCTAACAGGACTGAAAAGCTGGAGTTGCCTTGTTTAACATGGGAAAGAAATTCTGTCTTCGGTACAGAAGGTTTTCTTGAAGCATTTTTCCTGATCCTCCTTTTTCCCACACATTAAAGGCCTTCCCTTTAAATGCTGTGGTGCTTCCTTCAGTTTCTCTGATTTGGCAGGGGCTGTAGGTTACAGCTGAGGGTCAATTGCTGAGGTAAGTAGCTCGAGAGAGAACGCCTTCAACAGCGGAGCAGGGGGGAGATCAGCGTCCAGGAGCTTCAAATCAGAGCGACGAGAGCCACCGAAGGAGCCTCAA